GGGAAACCGGCAGGCCGGACTTGAGTCCTGGAGATGGGAAGTACAGTGCCTGCACTCTGAAGGAGGGGTGTTAATGTTGCAGTTTAAAAACTGTAGTGTAAAGCACCCTTCTGGCAAGACAGTGATGGAGTGAATGATGGTGAAAGTTTTTCTTTTTCGGGCCACCCTGCCTTGGTGGGAATCGGCCAGTGTGATAATAATAAATATATATATATATATATATATATATTATAATATATATATATATATATATATATATATATATATATATATATATATATATATACACATATATATATATATATATATATATATATATATATATATATATATATATATATATATATATATATATATATATATATATATATATATATATATATAATGAAGGTTAAAGAAATACAATATCCTATTTTATTTATGTATGTTCTCTTTATAACCCCTTTTTTATCTCTTATTATTTCTTATTATCATTTATTTTTTATCATTGTTTATTATGAGGGAGGAAGTGTAAGAATAGGGTAGGTGTTTGTTAAGTGTTACAATCCTGTCTTCAAGATGACGCAGTGGTGGTGGTGATGGGCTCTTTATACCAGGAATTGGAGCCGCCCTCCCCTTCCTCGGATCTGATTACCTCCTGTATGATATGTATGACCCCTGTGGGTTTACCTCTTTTCCTTGAATAATTTTTTTAGTTTCTTTAACCCTTCTTTCTCCTTAGTATTCTCTCTCTCTCTCTCTCTCTCTCTCTCTCTCTCTCTCTCTCTCTCTCTCTCTCTCTCTCTCTCTCTCTCTCTCTCTCTCTCTCTCTCTCTCTCTCTCTCTCTCCCAGATACATGTGTCGCTCGCTAAAAATGTCCTAAAAAAAATTTTTCTTTATGAGAATAAATATTTTCGGATTTTTTCTGTTAGCCTGGCTAAAATTTAGATAATATATAATAATACCAGCGCTCTCCCTGGTTAATGTCAGCCTCAGGGTACTATTATTTAACTTCAATCAAATATATTACTTGCTCGATGTTACTATATATATATAATATATATATATATATATATATATATATATATATATATATATATATATATATATATATATATATATATATGTGTGTGTGTGTGTGTGTGTGTGTGTGTGTGTGTGTGTGTGTGTGTGTGTGTGTGTGTGTGTGTGGTGTGTGTGTGTGTGTGTGTGTGTGTGTGGTTTTTCTAAGCGTTTTCGTGATTCCTCACACTCTGGTGGAACGGTAAAACAAAAGGACAATAGAAGACTTAAAACTGTGAGATATGACGTCACTTATGAGTCTGGGCAGCAGAGGTCATAAATAAGAAAATAATGAAGATCTGTGAAATTGCATGCGCTCTAAAAAACCCATTGATAAATCTTCTAAAATTGCCAAAAGTACATTTTATAATACTAAAAAGGACAAAAAAACCACATACAACTAAGAATATGTTGGTTCTACCTCATAAAAACTTTCTTGATATATCTTCTATGCTTTAAAAATCTCGTTACACTAAAAACTAAATCTGATAAAGAATTCCTCCCAAAACGCTGATGACTGTGTCTATAAGATTCCCTGTAAAAATTTTTTAAGTTTATTACAGGTAAACCAAAAAAACCCTAAGATTACAGCAACATGAATATAACACTAGAACTGGACAAGAGTTTAATATTCTGTTTTATTTATTTGAGAGATTTTAATGAGGCAATTGATTTTCAAAAGACTAAGAAAATTGCATCAAGCAGGTCCATAGCTGAGCTAAATATAATTGAATCAAATTCCATAAAATATCGTAGATTTCAATATGAATATAAATTCAGGGTTATATAAATTAGATTCATATATAATGAATAGAATTTGTGATTATTATTAACTATGTTGACAAAATTCCCCTTCCCCTGACAAGTCACTCTTAAAAAATTTTTGACTTGTGACCTGACTAATATCTTGTTAACATTTCCACACTCCATGAGTAGGGTCATATTTGAGGTCATATGTAAGGTCATATCTCAGCTTTATAAGTTTTCTCTTGTCATAAGATTTTACTGTGTCTTGATAATATGAAAAATTATGTATATATATATATATATATATATATATATATATATATATATATATATATATATATATATATATATATATATATATATATATATGTGCAATAAGATCACAGTAAACAGGTGATTTCAGAATATGCAAAACAACCACTGTGAAAGAATAGAGAAATTCCAAGAGCTTTCGTGACTACTCACATTATCAAGGATAATGTGAGTAGTCACGAAAGCGCTTGGAATTTCTCTATTCTTTCAGAGTGGTTGTTTTGCATATATATATATATATATATATATATATATATATATATATATATATATATATATATATATATATATATATATATATATATATATATATATATATATATATATATATATTTTCAACAAGTCGGCCGTCTCCCACCGAGGCAGGGTGACCCAAAAAAGAAAGAAAATCCCCAAAAAGAAAATACTTTCATCATCATTCAACACTTTCACCACACTCGCACATTATCACTGTTTTTGCAGAGGTGCTCAGAATACAACAGTCCAGAAGCATACACATATAAAGATACACAACATATCCCTCCAAACTGCCTATATCCCAAACCCCTCCTTTAAAGTGCAGGCATTGTACTTCCCATTTCCAGGACTCAAGTCCGACTATAAGAAAATAACCGGTTTCCCTGAATCCCTTCACTAAATATTATCCTGCTCACACTCCAACAGATTGTCAGGTCCCAAGTACCATTCGTCTCCATTCACTCCTATCTAACTCATCCACTATATATATATATATATATATATATATATATATATATATATATATATATATATATATATATATATATATATACATGTATATATATATGTATATATATATTAAATCAACTAGGATTAACTAGGAAATCTAGAACATTTAGGAGAAATCGTATAGCACATGTTAAGACGAACGTAGTCTTCAACACACCGTCTATTAATTTACTAACCTGTCATTCTTGGTAATAATTACATGTATAATAACTGAAGTAATCTCTGGCGATGGAGCCTACAATGATGTTATTATGATGTAACAATGATGTTATTATGATGTAACAATGGCTAATATATACCTGTTTGTCATTGTGAAAGCTATTTTACCTTCGTTAAATAGTTGTAGTTAATAATATCGATAATATCTTGTTTGAAATTCTTGTTTTTCATTTTCTTGCGCTACCTGGCAACTGTGTGGGTGCCCACTGGCCCTACTGGGAATCACAACAACAACAATAATAATAATAATAATAATAATAATAATAATAATAATAATAATAATAATAATAATAATAATAATAATAATAATAATAATAATAATCATTATTGCTACAAGTACATGTACAAGGTATACAGGTCTGGCTGACATCAGTGACATTCTACTTTTGTCCCAGGATGCGACCCATACCAGTCGACTAGCACCCAGGTACCTATTTTACTGATAGGTGAACATGGTCACCAGGTGTCTTAAGGAGACACGTCCTAATGTTTCCGGCCTTGCCAGGGATCATTGTCCGTGTCCCGTGATCTACCAGGTCACGGGACACGGATGTAAACATCGTGAGGTCTACATGTAGTCATAGTCTACTTTAATCCCTGATTTACGGAGTAAAGTATTCTTCACTAGTGGTAAACAGGTTACATGCAGCTGTAGTGACACTCGTGTAATCGATAGGTTTGAAACTAATCCAACATCCCCTCTGCACTGACGCCGCCTCACTTCAAGAGAAACCATATGGTACCCGATTTTTCCGAAATTCTTTGTATATCCTACATGTCCCTAACTTGTTAGTTTCTTTGTGCTACTGACTAATGTTTTTACACTCTGGTGCCTTGCATAGGTTGATGTATCCGAGAGAGACTTAAGTGTGTATGGTGAGTGATTCTGGTCACAGTAACGCAGCTTCCTTCATCAGGTGTCTGTGTTTGGCTGTGTGAGATTGTGTTTACATGTGTGTGTGTGTGTGTGTGTGATGGTCCATCTCACGGCAGGACTCATAGTGAGAGTGCCCGCACGCACACACACAAACACACACATACATACACAGGGCAGGAAGCGAGTGACTAAGTAGCGATCAGTGAAGAGGTGGGGCCAGTAGCTATGAATCGACCCCTGCAACCACAGTTAGGTGAATACACACACACATACACACACACACACACACACACAGATAGGCTGATTCCTTGTAAGTAGCAGCAAGGATGCGGAAGAAGCGGTAACAAACAGATTACAAGAAGTATTTTTAGCCACCGAGAGTGGATGACCAGTGACTTGTGTAGAGGAGGAGGAGGTTGTGTACACAGCAACTAGTACACTCACTTGATGAGAGACACAGATGAGCAACGCTTAGGTATCTTTATTGTACATGTGTCTTACTCATCAACCTGTTGCGTACAATGTATAATGTACAACTTGTACACAGTTTAGGAATGGTTCAGATAAATTTTAATGGAATATGGGACAACACTAATTTGGTTCGACTCTCGTAACCTCTGTTAGGTAATTACACACACACACACACACACACACACACACACACACACACACACACACACACACACACACACACACACACACACACACACACACACACACACACACACAAACACACACACACACACATACACACACACACACACACACACACACACACACACACACACACACACACACACACACACACACACACACACACACTCACCCTGGTCACCTAGTAGTGACCAGTGAAGAGGCGGGATCAGGAGCTATGAATCAACCCCTGCAACCACAATTAGGTGAGTACAGTTAGGTCAATACACACACACACACACACACACACACACACACACACACACACACACACACACACACACACACCACACACACACACACAGACCTGGGTAGGGTAGGTGGGGTTTGGGGTGAGAGGGTAGGTGGGGTGTGGGTACTCACCTGGTCATTGGCGTCCTGTGCTCGTGGGTGAAGTTGTGGGCTGCAGTGGAGGAATTACAAACAAAACGTTGCTAGCGTGAGTACAGTGTGTAGCTGCTGTCACAATTGTTCATTACATCCCCACTCCCCCTCTTACAGCCTCTCTAACTTATATCCCCACTCCCCTAACTCTTCTTACAGCCTCTCTAACTAATATTGCATCTCTACCCCCTAGCTCTTATGTCCACCCTCACTCGTATTACTTCCCCCTAACTCCAGTTACATCCCTCTACCCTTTTACATACTCCTAACTCCTATCATGTTCCCCTAATCTCTGTTACGTCCCTCCTAATTCCTATTACATCCCTTGTAACTCCTGTTGCATCCCCTACCTGCTAATACACTCCTCAGCCTTATTACACCTTCTAGCTACTAATACACTCCTTAACTTTGATTAATTTCCATAAAATTCTCATCTAATAAGCCACTAAAAAACCATGTCATAACCATTAATTTTCTTGTTGTGGCAAGACACAAATAAGCAGAATAAGCTTTTGTTTGAACGATGTTTCGCTCTAACATTTTCTAGTAAGGCAGAGGCTAACAATCACCATGTATAAACAGTGTTGGAAGAGCAGGTGTAAGTGGATATGGGTTAGATATATGTGGAGGCGAAGTGACGTTGATACTGGTAGACCCCAGTGTAAGTCAAGTGGGAAATATAGCTGGTGTTATGTTAGGTGTTGTGATTTGGGATGTCTGGTTACGAGAAACTTGAAGGGCAGCGATAAATAGGCATATTTAACATAAAGTTTAAATTAACAGTTCTGTAGTATCGGGTACAGATGAGTGCTGCTTCCAGACATTTCCTTTTGGTTTTGTTCGCTGTAATAATAATTTTAGTGTCTTTTAGTGCCATAAAGATGTGAATGTATTGGTGGATGACGCTATGTGGGATAGAAGGAAATCAGACTTATTATCCCAGGGTATAACAAAACCAGGATATACCTGGAAGCAGCACTCGTCTGTGCCTTTGGCAAGAAGGATTTTACAGTGACATCTACCTGCTAGTGATCAGTTATCCCATCACACCCAGACAGCTCAAGCCTCATTAGAACTCAGGCACCTGACCCGCATTTCACACTCCTACAGTTTTTCACACAATACCTACTTCCACCTCTCTTTTTCATGAATGTTTATACATAGTGATTGTTATCCTCTGTATGGCTCGATTAAGCTATATTTAGGAAGACATATTGTTTAAATATAAACTTATTTGGCACACCTGTAACTTCCCATATTGTGGCTGTCGGCGATACAGCCTCCAACCGTCTACCCCATTACTATGTCATACTAAGCGGAGCTTCCGTTAGCGACTTAAATTATCTGGCCACTACATTAATAAAGACGCTAACCGATGTAATTGATAACATATAGTGCAAACAGAGTTATATTATGTAATTTGTTAATAAAGGAGATCGTAAATAACTTGTTAATTTGATATTTTCGGAACCTGCTATCTCAGGAAGACAGTCACAATACCGTGGCTGGAATGATTCACAACTAATCCACAATTTGGAGATGGAAATTTAAGCAACATTTCGGTCCGTCTTGGACCGATAATGGTTTATGACTGTGTCATGCATCGAGTGTGACTAAACGAATGTTTCTGGCAGTTGTTGTTAATCCAGCTCTCTGTATTCTACACACGACACAAAAGCACTTTTCTGCATGTCATCTTAGCCAGGCAGATGCGTATTAGTCATTGCTAGCGAGGGTAAGTGCACCATCTTGGTACTGGGTGGCTAGCAAACAATAGCTGTAATCTGGTGTTTCTGAAGAAGTGTGAACGGCCTGGGGAAGTTTACTATGCTTCTAGGAACACCTCAGACTGTTTAACCCTCTCACTCTACTGACTAGCTCAGTCTATGATAGTTCTGACTTCTCTGTGAGTGTGATATCGGTTTTAACGAGAGACACTTCCAAACTCTGTTCATTAATAGGTTAAACTTGTCCTTGAACTCTGTACATAGTTGTGAGTAGCCTGTACGTACACGTACACGTCCCAGTGGTGGAGATATATGTTAGACCAAAAGCTTTTCTTCTGTGTGTACTTGATTCCTCATTTGTGTTTTAATTACTGTGACAGCACTGTCAGCTGGTGCATTGCACGGCAGGGTACTGCACGTCCTTTGAAAATTCTTGTGTTCGTCATAAAGGCTGACCGATATATCGTTTAAAGTCTCTCTCTAAACTCTGAGGTAGTTGTGAACCGCTGTTTCTGAACATCTAAACTCTGAGGTAGTTGTGAACCGCTGTTTCTGAACATCTAAACTCTGAGGTAGTTGAGAACCGTTGTTTCTGAACATCTAAACTCTGAGGTAGTTGTGAACCGCTGTTTCTGAACATCTAAACTCTGAGGTAGTTGTGAACCGCTGTTTCTGAACATCTAAACTCTGAGGTAGTTGTGAACCGTTGTTTCTGAGCATCTAAACTCTGAGGTAGTTGTGAACCGCTGTTTCTGAACATCTAAACTCTGAGGTAGTTGTGAACCGTTGTTT